AACTATGCAAGAGAAAGACCTCTAAGTACCCATGTCAGCTGGAGGTTACAGCCTCATAAACAAACATAAACAGAGAGGTACATAAACGTTTCACTCGTACTAACAATAAAATACTAAAATACAACAACTTAATACAGCAGAACAGGTGCATTAAAAGTATAACAGATTGAGGAGCAGCAAAACAGAAAAACCAAACTAAAAAACAAACCATATCACAGCAGGGACAATTTCATGCACCACCTAACAGCACCAATGACACACTTTGTTTTTAGTTGTTTTTTTGTCTGCTTTGCTACTCCCACATCAGCAGAAGAAAAACCACTAAATACAGGCATGTCAGCTGTAGGTTTTCCATTTACTAATAACAACAGCTACATCAAGGAATAAACTAATAACAATAGCTACATCTAGGAATAAACTAAAAGGAAAACAACAAGCTAGACTAGTCAGAGTCACTCTCTGTTGCTTCAGAGGAGGAACTGCTTTCCTCTCTCTTCCTCTTTCTTTGTGCTTCTGGAACCATACACGCTAGTAGGTCCAGCATCCTCTTCCTAGATTTGTTTTCGTTTTTGGCCTTGGCACGGAATTCTTTTCGAATTTTACTTAGTTCTGCTTTTCTCTGGCGCGCATCTTCTCTCAAAAATTCCAAAATGTCGTTTGTGTTGGCCCTTTTGTGGCCCTTTGGTTTGGCTGAGCTTTCAACACTTGAGAAACGACTGCTGTTGAGGTCACAGCCATCATCAGCTATTATCTCTTCCTGTACACCAATCTCATTGGGTGTGTCATTCCCTCTGCTTGACTCTGGCACTTGCAAGCACATGGAGTCTTGCAAGTTTTTAGGTTTTGCCTTAGCAGAATTCTTTATTATGTCGAACACCTCATCAAAGTAGTCTGGTTTCCTTAGTGCCCCCTTGCCTGTGTTGTTTGGCCCACCATTGGCGAGAAAAGTGGTCACTTTCGACTCCATGTTCTTCCACTTGTCTTGGCAGACAAGGGCTGCCTCTCTATTTCCAAAAGAGTAGCCCTTGTTCTGCATAGACAAAGCAATTTTCTTAAACACACTTTTTTTACATGTACTCTTGTCTGTGATGTTTTCGTAGTGGATTCTGACAAGGTCGAGGAGGTCGGATCTTGCACTAAGGTCTTGCGGGGTTTGCTTACCTGAGTTTTTCTTCCATATCTCTGAACTGGATAGAGGGAGAGGGACTGCAGACATTGGAATAGAGCTGCTGCTAGGCGAGGAAGTTGAATAAGAATACGATGAGTGGTCTTGTGAATGATGTTTTGAGGATGAATGAGAGCTGGAGCTGGTGGAGGCCAGAGGCAGCGGTCCCTTGGATATCATAGTCTTGGTCGACAACAGGGTGACGGCCAGGGCCATTTCTTCCGCTGGCCTGTAGATAATTTTATTTGCTGAAAATAATGATTGAAAAATTTGAGCGAAATTCCAAAGAG